AGCTGCTCACATCAGGAAGAGAGGTGCAGGGGCTGGGTGTGATCAGTACCCTGTCTTCTTTTGGGGACCTCCAGAAATGCTTCACAAAGATGTTTATGTCTCAAAGAATAAGGACAGACAGGAGTCTTTCTTTGTTCAATGATATCCAGGTAAGATTACATCTATCGCACGGTAGAGATGTCTCTGCAATGGGCCAGAAATATTGACTCTGTGACAACCTCCCTAGTGACCTCACCCCATGAGGGATGACCTGGCACGTCTGTCCTTTGTCACACAGCAGAGCTAACCTTTGCCTAGGGACTTCCTTTTCCCTTCCTCCAGGCCTGACTGAAACAGCGTCCCCCTCATGTGCTCAGGTAAACGATCATCTAGTCCTGCTGATCTTGGAGCCATCTGCCTTGTCAGGTCAGCTTAGCCTGGCCATACCACACATCTAACCGCTCACCTTGGGATGAATGGATTCCTTAACTTCCTGCTCCCTTGTTCTTGGATGCCATCTTCACCAGACTTTAACCTTCAACTGCCAATAACATCTATATCCTCACAGCATCCCTCACACACACCCCACACAGATGCATTCACAAACACAAAGCCACAAGTACACATACACAAATAAACACACACACATACAAATACACATATTCATATATATACATACACACATAACATACACACAAACACCTAGTGCTATTCTTTTTTGGTTTTCATCTTACTTTGCTCTTGCTAACTCCGTGTAGCAGAACAGAAAAGATTTTCTCTACATAAGGCTCACTGAGGGAGGTCACAGGAAAGTGAGAAGGCAGAGCATGAGGGCTTCCTGGTTCTGCATACGGAGCAGCAAGGGGACCTTCTCTGGAATGAGGTGGGCAAAGTCTGAGGGTGGTCAGCAGAAGAGTGGCCCATATCATGCCCTCCTCCTGAGCCTGGACACTGACTGTGCAGGTCACACGGCAAAAGGGACAGAGCAGCAGATGAATGCAGGCTCTGACTAGGTGGCCCTGAGATGGGGACAGCACCTGGGGAGGACCCTGAGGGTCCTTCTCAGGGAAGGCAGAGGTGGGAAAACCAGTGCAGTATGCTTCCATGTGCCCATTGTCAAGGATGTAAAGGTACAGGAGGACCAAGAGCTATGGGCTGGCTCCAGATGCAGGGCAATGCCACCCTGCTGACCCCAGGTTGTGGCCTAGTGAGGCTGTCGGTTCACCTTTAGGGCTGTAGGGCAATGGGTGTGTTGTTTTATTTTCTTTTTTTTTTTTTTTTTTTGGTTTTTCTCCGGTACCGGGAACCAAACTCACGACCTTGCACTTGCCAGGCAGGCGCTTTGCCGCTGAGCTAAATCCCCAGCCCGGGTGTGTTGTTTTAATTGTTGATTTGTTACAGCAGTGACAGGAACCTCATATAGTAAGTTTGAAATGCTCTGGGACATCCTGGAGGTATTCAGAGCAAAGCAGGTGTCCTGCTTCAGGATTTGCCTCCTCTCGGAGAATTATTGGGTATGTCCACGAGCTCCACACATGCAAGCTGTGTCTCTCCAACACTGGGTTTATTGTTAGGGGCACTCACTGTGCTGGACAGTATGCCAAGTGGCTGTGCAAATGTGTAAATGTAGTCTAGAGCAAGAGCTTCTTGCACATGGGTGTGAAGGGACAACCCAACAGGAAACTGGGACCCAGGAGACCATGGCTTTACATGGTGCCCCCATGGCTTCCTTGCCCACACTCTCCCAAAACTGCCTTGTGAACTGAATTCACACATGACTACTTCACTATCTGCAAGATTAGGCTCATTGTGAAGAGGGGCAGCCCATCTCCCCAGGTCTGAGAGGTAGGCAGGAGGGACAGATTTTCCAGACCAAGCCTGGGTAATACTGGAATTACTCAAGGGACTGCTCAGGGACTTTATAAAAATTACTTGGAAATGAAAAAAGTAATGTGCCACTATGTGTAAAATGTGTAAGCCCCATGCAATATGACAGAGATGAAGATGGAGATCATCAATGATCAGTCATGGCTTCTGTGGACGCTGATGAAGACCTGCTGTGAGGAGACCTACAGATGCCCAGGTCTACCCAGCAATGGGGCCTTTCCTGAGCGGCTCTACACCTCCTGCTCACAGCTGTTCTGTCCAGGGAAAGGCTGTCCCTAGCCCAAGGCTGGAATGTTCAGACATGGGTTGCAGAGCAAGAAGCCCAGGAACCACAGTCCAGCCCTTCTCCCTGCTCTTAACAGCAGTACTGCTGTCCTGGTTAGCCTGGCCCCAGGATGTGCCTGTATCCTACCGTGTATCCAAGACATGACAGGTCTCAACTCAAGCGTCAGGGTACCCTGGTACGCTGAATACCCTCAGGACACAAACATCATGGGCCTAGGCCACACTGCTGGGGACTCATGGGCCCTTGGCTTCTAGCCCCTTCCACGTGACCTAAGATTTCTGACCCTTCTTCAGGACTCATCCTGGTAAGGAACTGGCTTAGCTCTCAGGCCCAGGGGTCTGTTCCACATTACGGCCTCTACAGTCTGGATTTCTGACACATGGGTCCCGACACTGGACCTACTGGGAATGAATAGTCAGAAGGACCGTTATCAGGCCGAGACCCCAGAGTCCACAACCTCCTATGGAATTTGAGGGGAGGGCATGTTCCCTCAATGCCAGAACCCTTCTTGACCCTGACATGCCAAGACAGAAAGCCAGACAGTAGTATCCACAGGTCAGAATTTATTTCATACCCGCCCCCCTTACAGCATTTTCAAGTACAGGATTCTGCCCAGTGTCATTCACACGTGGACACAAAAGACACGACTTCATAAGGCACCAGGTTGTGGCAGGCTAGAGAGGAGCCCTGCTCCCACTTCGGCTTGTGAGATTCCTGGGCAGATTCCTGGGCTGGTAAGTCGGCCAAGCAGAGAAGAGAGATTGCGAAACGTCCATTTGTTCACATGTAGTAAAAGGAGGACAGTCTGGAGTCCAGTTCAGTGTTTCTACATTATGATATCAGCCTGGACTGTAGGACTTAGGCCTAAAACCCTCTGCAAACCAAGCTGCACATTTAACCATTTTGGCTTTGAAGTGAGTCATCATATTTAATCCAAACACATACCTTTAAAATTTTCTCAGCCTATATCCTTATTTTTCAAGAAGAAAAATGGAGGAAAACTTCAAGTACAACCATACCTCATTATTTTATAAATGCAGCAACATACAGTAATTAAAAACTGTGACATTTAGATGTCATCCAGCTAGACGTGAGCAAACTTTCAAGTGAAGCTTCCCAAATGGGGCTAGGCAGTGCCCTGCACTTACAGCCTCTCATTACACCCCACGGTAGAGGGCACAGCCCAGTCATGGTGCAGACTTCTTTCAAGTTTGTTTTCTACTTTAAAAACTCATTTGCTGGTAGGTGTGGTGGTACACCCCTGTAATCCCAGCACTTGGGAGGCTGAGGCAGGAGAATCATTCAGAGTTCAAGACCAGCCTGGGCTACAAAGTGGGCTCAAGGCCATCCTGAACTGCACAGCGAGACCCTGTCTCAAAAAGACAAAAACAAAAACAAACAAACAAAATCAACTCATTTGCTTTTCTACATTTTATTATAACATGTGAAATGACTTCCAGTTAAGTAACCAGTCCCTCCCTACTCTGCATGTAGGCTGACAGGACCTCATCTGGGAACCTGCTTTCCAGTGAGGAAAGCCAGGGACAACTAGATGGCTACAGGAAGTTGGTCTGATACAAACATTTCCATAACTGAACCAATTTTTTTCACTCAGGTTTAACTAAATACTTCAGGAAACTATGACTGATCCCAATTTCAATGTGTAGAAAAATCAATAGGAAACAGTCTATGTATTTTAGTGGTTTAAAGATTAACCTTTGTTAAACAAATTCTTTCACCCTATTTACTAACAGGAAAAGAAGCCACTAAAGTATGGCCTGATCTTTTACTATTTTTCTACAGAAAAAATACAAATTAGCTTTTTTTTAAATATAAAAAAGGTAACACAAAACCCACAGAGATGAAACTCTGCTACCCAGTGGCTTCATAGAGATGCCCCTGGCCAGTTACTGAAGTGACTCTGGTGACTGCTTCACCCAAGGCAATCTCGGAAGCAGACCCATCCCATCTGAGAGGACTCTCCTCTTCAGGACTGTCTTCAGAGGGTTTAGCTTTAAGACCACTACCTTAAGGGTCCCCTGAGTACGGCTTTGCGACTGCTCCACAGCGAGGAAACACCTGGTGGCCACAACTGGGCCTGACATAGTGCTGTCTTTGCTGCAGGCCTCTGGGAGCCACTGGGGTCTTAACAGGTCTCCAGACATGTTCATTTTACTTCTTGTTTTAAAATGGTCTCAAAAATGTGCAAATTAAGATCTATTTGAGGGGCTGGGGATTTAGCTCAGCGGCAAAAGCGCCTGCCTGGCAAGCGCAAGGTCGTGAGTTCGGTTCCTGGTACCAGAGAAAAACCAAAAACTGAAAAAAAAAAAAAAAAAAAATCTACTTGAAATCATGGCTAGTGTATAATCAAAAACATGTCTGTTCCAAGAAGAGGCGATGAGAAGAGGAAGCTAAACCATTCTCACAGGCTTTGTGGCCACTTCCCCCATTAACTGTTTAAAAGTCTGAAACCATAGCAGATACCGGGCTTATGCATGTTCACATGCACGCACACGGAGGACGTTTTGCCTGACTCAAGCAGAAAGGTGCCAGCGTCCCACAGCATCTGCTGCACCTCTCGTGGCAACGGATGCCCTATGGATCGGCAGAGGGTGTAGCTTAAGACACCAGACAGCAGCTCCCTCTGTCCCACCACCAGGACTAGGCAGCTAGGGACGAGTTAGTCCCCCGAGCAACCACCAAGCTCTGATCTCAATGTGAGTCAGTCCCTAAAGATAGCAGGAGAGCTGTGGTGGCAGGGCCTTCTGCAGGGCACTTTGGCTTTTTTCATATAGTGTGGGAACAACTGATTTTACAATGAAAAAACCCCAATTTCAAACAGTCTTCCTTTTTGGTCTACGCAGTGCCAGGAGTCAGTGAGATGGGATGGGTTGTTTCTGTTTTTTTGTTTTTTGTTTTTTGGTTGTTTTAAAACTTAAGCAATTGAGTATTACTTGGTGACAAAGGAACAGGTTTGAAGTTTTGTAGACAGAGGTCTCTCACTGTTTTCTCAGACTTTTTGCTCTTAAAAAAAAAAGGTACAGTTTGTGCAGAATTTCAAAGCTGAACTGTTCCCACAAAGGCTGCCGTGTGCACACAGTGCACCAAGCACCAAGCAGCCCTTAATCCAGAGGGTCAAAACCACAACTCCCCGCTTCATCTGTCTGTACATGGTAATGCGGCAACATTTCATTCTTGACATCCCGCTCTGAGTGTTCTTTCCATATAGATATAAATTAATCCCGAGGTCTAGAGCTCTAAATTTCCAGAGTTGTGAAAAATTCTTAACTTATTCCAAAATTCCTTTAACTTTCTTACCTTGCGTAAGAATCTTATCTCTAAGCTCCAACAAGCAAGAAAATTTAAGGGATGGAGGAATGCACAAGCTGAGGGCTCCTCTGTGTGTGCATTTCTCTCTCTCTCTCTCTCTCTCTCTCTCACACACACACACACACACACACACACACACACACATACACAGTCATTCCCCTTGGCACCACCTGAGGGGTGGCTGTCTGTACAGCCCCATAGCGTCACGCCAGGCAGCAGTACTTCCCCCACCAGGACTTGGAGAGGGTCCTCACTTTGTCCGGGGCTCTGCTCTTACACTTCCTGGGCTGCTGCTGGGAGTCTGAGTACTGGATGCCAGCCACAATGGCAGCATCAAATACCTCCTTGAGGTTCTTCTGAGTCAAGGCTGAGCACTCGATGTAGGAGACGGCTTTGATTTCCTCGGCACACAGCTTTGCTGCCTCCTCAGGCACTGGCTTCTCTCTGCATTTGTCCAGCTCAATGAGCACTTTGACATCCTCTCTGAGGTCTGACTGTGTCCCAACCAGGATGATGGGGGTTTTGGGGCAGTGGCACCGGATCTCAGGCACCCACTTCTCACAAACATTCTGGAACGATGCAGGACTCACCACACTGAAGCACAGTAGGAAGATATCTGTATTGGTGTAGCAGAGGGGCCTCAGCTTGTCAAACTCATCCTGCAATCAAGCACACACCCACAGTTACCCACAGGTAATCAGCTCTCACCGGCAAAAGATACCTTAATGTACTTTGCCCAGCCCTGATCAGTGACGGGAACCCTCCTGGGCTACAAGGAAGAGCTGGTGTCTCAGAACCGACCTTGTTGCTTGCCCAGCAGCTATAGGGCCAGTTCCATGGCCAGTGCCGCCCTAACAATGCAAACTACCCTATGTGTTCCTGGAGTTCCTGGTCACCAGGCTATGCACCATAGAAAAGGCACTTAAAGCAGGGTGTCTAGAGCCAGTTTGCTTCAATTTGCCTTCAGCCTAGAGTGATCCTAACTGATTCTCTCAACCCTTGGAAATCAATTACTCTTCTAAAGTTCAGAGCACACCCTACTGGCACCCAGACTCCAAACTCACCCTGGCAAGCCCCATCTACAAACACAGTGCCTCTCTTCATGATCCCAGCCCTGCCCTTCCCTATAACAGCGTGATCGATGCTGATTCCATCTCATCTGCCTGGTACATACAAAGTGCAAAGCGATGTGAATGAGACACAGGGCACACCCAGGAAGGAGCTGGGACCTGTGTTAGGCCAGTCCCTGAAAGCTCAGAGAACATGTGCCCCAGTGTCACAGACACTGGTTAATACAGCCTCATTCTGACTGTACCCTTATACTTCCTAGCTGTGGCCTTGATCTTCTCCCTCTGAAGTTCCACGCACAGTGCTTTGGACAGATAAGGAACCAGAGAACAGGCAGACTTGCCCTATGCTGTAGAGGCTTAGTTCAGAGAAGTGAGAATGGATTAAAAATAAATAACCCACTTGGCATTAGGGCTCAGCTGTGGTCACCACCAACAGACACACATAAACGCCATCTTCAAGCAGGCACAGTGTCAGATGAGTCTCCACATCAGCCTCTCCTATCAAACATCCTGTAATGCTCGAAGTCCCAAACCCAACCAACCAGAAACTTCCACTCAGCCCTTTCCTGGGGAAGTGCTCATACCACCTCACATAAAATGCGTATCTTTGGGCACTGCCACCCTCAGGTCTAATGTTACTGATGATTTCCCAATGGCAAGAAGAGGTAAACACTTTTTGTGTGTTTTTCATCACCCAACGGGAATATGCTGGTTATCTGCCAAGTCCTATTTACAGGTATTTTCTCCTCTCCCCATAGCCTCTTTCTTGGGGCAGCAGTCTTATTTGACTGTTCTTCACCTGAGGATCCAGGGTCCCCGTTGGGGGAAACAAGTAATTGCCACAGTGGACTCACTACACTCTCAGACACGAGTACAACATCACAGCGTGTCCCTGACCTGTGAGGCACTTGAAGGAAAGGCTCAAAGAACACAACTTCTGTTTCTTAGTGCCAGCTCTGTGCTGCAAAAATAAACTCAGAAAGCTTACCAGGCAATCACAGCTCAGCCCTCTAAGCCTGCAGTGTGAATGCTGAACAGAACTCTGCTTGGGGCAGGACCAGCTTGAGACAGGAGACTGGACTGGAGCACCCTCCCGTCAGGCTGCACCCTGATTTTTTCCCTAAGTATCTCATGGGTCAAAAAGCTGAAGAAACAGTCAGCCTCTATGGGCATCTCTGTAGAAGACACCTGCAGCTGCACTCCCTTCTCGTGACCAACGGCATGTTCCTTGAGACTGTCCATCCATCTCTGTCCTATTTGCACCAGACTCCATTAAGTGCAGTCTTAAAAGCTCCATCTCACATCAGCACACACACACCAGCCTCCTCTGTGAACCCTGAGGCACCAGAAGTGAGCTCCCAGCTCATTAGCCCCCACAGGTGCCCATAATCATCCAGTCAATGCTCATGTTCCTTTTTCTGCCCAAGGAGATTATGTTCCTTGGCTGGACTATAAGGACATGTTGCAGGTGTCACATCAAGTCCATCAAAAGGAAGTTTACCAGATGGGGACCAGGGAGTGTGGAAAAGTGTCACCACTCTGACCAGCTCTGCTGCAGTCTCAACCAATGCTAACCTGTGCTTGAGGAGCACGGATAATCCCTGGCCTCATCCTCTTATCAGCAAGTACTTTGCAAAATGAGTTTTTGAAGCTGGCTCTATACTGGTCTTTAGATGGTGCCCTATTGTTACTAGCAGGTATTCTCCATCAGCCAGCACAAAAGTTAGGGAGTAATAATTCACAAAAGCAGTGAGGAAAACTGGAAAAACAATTTCCAAACGCACTAAAGCTTATCAGCTCAGTGCCAAACCTCTTCCTTAATTGTAAACTTTGCAACAGTATTTCCAAAATGATTCTACACTTCCCTGACTTTTAAACAGATGATACTAAGGGAAAATCCAACTCTTCTTTGATGATCTGCATCATTTTTCAAAATTTTCCTAGTAACAAGCAGTTCCTCCTTCTTGAGTCGACCTGAGGGCCCCCAGTGGTGGCTTGAGGCCCTTTATCTACACTGTACTACTCCCTTCTTAACTCTTAGACACCCGCTGTCCTCTCTCCGGCCTCCAGCTCTGTGGAGGGCAGACCTGTCACTCGTGTGTGCTCCAGAGCCTGGTGGCAGCTGATGGTGCCCGAACAACATGTAAAGGCAGCTCCCTGTTGGCGGCCCTGGGATCTATGCTTTGGGACTCCTATATTTCCTGCTTTATCTCTGGTCTACAGGCTGTTCCCCAAGGAGTTCCAAGTCCTGAGATACTCTTCTGCCCACTTTCTACAGATGGGAAACCTGACCCTCTTGCTTTACACAAAGCAAAGTCACCTGAATTACTGATACCTGTGTGACATTCGGAAGGAACAAGTACCAGAACAGACTGTGTTCTTTGACTTTCCTGTCCTGTGGCAATAAAACAAAGATCACGTTTGGTTTCTCCCTCTCATGGTGAAAAGAGCTGAGGTGCTCTGAGGCTGAGTGTCAACTCACACTGCTATGGGCACCACCAGACTGGCATTCCACGGGGATCAAGGCTGCTCAGCCTTCTGCCATCCCAAGTCTAGAAAATAAAATCTGTCTCAGCCCTGAGTATGTTGTTCTTGGGTAGGTGAGCAGCTTGGAAGTCCTGACTTGGATGAGGTGCTGAGAGTCCCTAGAAAGCCAACTTCACAAACACAATGGACATCTCCTGGCACCTGAGAAAATGAGGACACACTTTCACCTGCCTACAAGGTGTCCCTGGTACTTCCACAAACTGGGGACACACTGGAGACAAGTTCATCAACTACCACTTGGGCAACAAGCAGGGCCCAGGACTCAGAAGGCCCCATACATTCTTGGTGGCTGGACCACCTCATGAGGTGATGATGAGCCCAGCAGCTCCTGGGAGCACCAAGGGGATCCCACACCCTCTTCATCCCTCCCTGGCTGTTCCCACCGAATGCCCAGTCCTTGAGATAAGAATAAACACTCTTCATGGGCAAGACCGTAGTGCACTCCTTCCTCCCTCTAGCTTGGAGCGGCCCTGCAGGCACATCTCTGCTCAGGCCTGGGGCTGGTCTGAGGTTAAATCACAGTGAGGGAAGGGAAGCCCTGATGCTTACTGACAAAAGCTCCAGCATCTCTTTGAGCAAATTCTTAGTTATCTCTGACCTTTAATAAGACGACTATAAGGTATCACCAGCCTACATGAGAAATGATTACAAAGCATCAGTTTTTTTGATAAAAACCAGAACGTGAGGGACATCAGGAGCTCCATAAGATAAGAGCTGTTTCGCTGCTGCTTCCTCCTCCCTCCTCTTCTGACCAGAATGGCAGGGCCAGGCTGACTGCTGGTTCAGAGGTGTCCTGATTTCTCCCTCCTACCCTCCCTCCTGCTCCACCGGGGCCAGCCCAGGGGTGGGTGAGCCCACCCACTCCCAACCCAGTACCCACACCAACCCACTACTCACCACCCAGGAGGCTTCAGAAAGACCCAGTTACTAAGGGGACCAGTGGAAACACAGCAAAGGTCATTTGGAAACCTTTAAAAGGCCGCTTCCTTTCCCAGTGCTGAGTGTAACCTGATACTGACCTGTCCTGCAGTGTCACAGAGCTGGAGTCTCACAGGCCGCCCATCCACTGACACCACAGCTTGAAAACAAGACAGATGATTATCAGGAGGAGTCTTTTACCCTTCCAGAGGGCGGACAGTCTCAGCTTGCTCTACCATTCTTGATGCAAACTGCTGGGCTCCTGCTTTGGCTCTTCCCAGAACAAGGAGGGCCATGGGGGTGTTTCTGTACACAGACCTCCAGGTCTGGCAGGTCCCTCCCCTGGCAGGAACAAGAGGGCAGCAAATCCCTGAGTCCTGGATGGTGCCCCTGGAAGAGCCTGAGCTTTCCTCTCAGCTCTGGAAGATTTATTTTCCTATTACACTTGTTTCAAAGGACCTAAAAGCAACACGGGATTAGGAGCCAATGTGGCAGATTTAAATCATGGAAATCTCACAAATAATTGTTTCCCTTGGGAAAAGTTCCTGACTTCAGGGTTTATCATAAAATTAGCCATTTCAGGAACTTGTACAAACACAAGCTACAAATCCCTGTGTCTAGAAGAGGGTAACCCCCATGCCCCTCCGTTCAAAAACAGGATTAAAGAGGAGGAGAGGGGGGAAAGCCTGCCACCTTTCCACTAGAGTGATTATGCGGGTGGATAGGCTATGGTTTCTACTGGAATTAAGCAATGTCTTTTTGCGCACAACCTTGTAATTGTTTTTAAACGCTTGGGACTGGCAACTAGGAAGGCAACCAGCAATACAGCTGGACTTCACCTAAGGTGCCCCCAAGGGGGGGAGCCGCGGCGTCAGGCCCTGGCCATCTGGCTCTGCAGGTCACAGGGGCACATTGTTTTTTAAGAAGCCACTAGCTTCTGTGAAATCTAACTTTTTCTTAAAATCCAAAAAGACCTGAGAGATCACGATAAAGGATTCTTTCACCTTTGTATTTCACCACACCCTATAGGTAAAAACTTGCCTAGGTTAAAGGAAGCCAGTGCCACCAGAAGCCGAGCCGGCGGGGAGGGGCGGCCGGGCTGAAGAAAGGAAGGCTCCGCGCCAGCCCAGCCCTCGCGTGCCCAGGCCGGCACCGGGGCGCACTGCGGCGGCTCTTCAAAGCCGCGCGCCGCGCCGCGCCGCCCCGCGGAGTTACAGTCCGACCGGACCGGTCCGGATCCCCCCACGCCCGGTCCTCCGCCCCGCGCCCCGGCGCCGGCCTGACAATGTCCCGCGCGCGCCCGCCCCGCGCTTACCCGAGAAGTTGTCGAAGGCGGTGGGGATGTACTCGGTCGGGTAGCCGTTGGTGGTGTAGCTCACCACCAGGCTGGTCTTGCCCACCGCGCCGTCGCCGACCAGCACACACTTGACGCCGCGCCCCTCGGCGGCCCCCGCGCGTCCCCGGCTTCCCGGCGCCCCGGGCC